GGGTGATGGATGGATGGACGGACGGAGGCTGGACGTGGCTGGGGATGGACTGGACGTGGCTGGGGATGGATGGACGGACGGAAGGTGGACGTGGCTGGGGACGGATGGAGGGGTTCATGGGGGGTGGATAGATGGACGGACGGAGGCTGGACGTGGCTGGGGATGGATGGAGGGGTTCATGGGGGTGATGGATGGATGGACGGACGGAGGCTTGACGTGGCTGGGGATGGATGGATGGACGGACGGAGGCTGGACGTGGCTGGGGATGGATGGACGGACGGACGGAGGCTGGACGTGGCTGGGGATGGACGGATGGATGGAAGGTGGATGTGGCTGGGGATGGACGGAGGCTGGACATGGCTGGGGATGGACGGACGGACGGAAGGTGGACGTGGCTGGGGACGGATGGAGGGGGGGACAGATACGGATGGGGGGATGGATCAAGGGGCGGGGTGAGCGTACAGGAGATGGACTGGCTCTGCCCCCCATACCCAGCTGCTCCCCACTCCCCGCCCGCCCAGTCCCCGTCCCCCCCAGCCGTGGGGTCTCACCTGCCAGGTAGAGTGTTTTCAGCCCAGGGTCGCTCAGCGCTGGCACCTGCTTCATGTGGACGTTGCTGCAGGCGATGGCCGACTCGGAGAGGAGGCAGGTGGTGGGCAGTGAGGGCATGATGGGTCCCCCCTCGGGCTGCGCGCCTGGCCGGGCTCTGCCCCTCTGCAGCCGGGGGGCATTGCTCCGCCAGGGGGGTGGCCCCTTCCCCAGCACCAGCTGCCCTGCGGAGCAAGACAGAGTCATCCATGGGGACAGGACCCCCGAGAGGCGGCACCCTGAGGGACGGGACCCCCGAGAGGGGGGTATTCTGGGGGGACAGAACCCCAGAGAGGCGGTGTGACGAACCGGGACTGTTCTTACTGTGGTCTGTGAATGCTGACAGGGGAGTGTGGCTAGGATGGGCTGCATTGGGGGATGGGAGACTGACCCACGGAGAATACCTGAGCGTGTAACAGGAGAACCCAGGAAGGGGTTAGAGGCCAGGTGACACCTTGGCCCGGGAACTGAACAAAGGCTGTGGGAGGGGTCGCTGAAGGGAGGGTTTCAGGAGCTGGCTGGTGATATGGCTGGGAGGCAGACGGGACTCTGACCTCCCAAGGGGGCTGGGGCGCCCGGGGACCCCAAGATGGACCTAACTGAGGGGGGCCCTGTTGTCTGTGCCTGCAAGACCTGTCTTGGACTGTGTTCCTGTCATCTAAATAAACCTTCTGCTTTACTGGCTGGCTGAGAGTCAGGGTGAATCGCAGGAAGCCGGGGGTGCAGGGCCCTGAGTCCCCCACACTCCGTGACAGGCGGCACCCTGGGGGATGGGACCCCCGAGAGGGGGGTATTCTGTGGGGACAGAACCCCGGGGGGGCACCCTGGGCAGAGCTGATTTTTGGGGTAGTGGCACTTCCAAAAAGTTGATTAAAATATCGTTTTGGTCCCCATCGGAAAGCTGGGGAATGTCAGGAAATGGGAGCGCGGGCGCATGGGGGGCTGAAGTCAGCGTTTCCGGCGCAGGGGGTGGGGGACTGGCCTGGCCCCTAGGGTTACCATATTATAACACAACAAAAAGAGGAGACTCCACAGGGCCCCGGCCCCGCCCCAACTCCGCCCCTTCCCCAAAGTCTCCACCCCAGCTCCGCCCTCTCCTCTGAATGCTCCGCCCCCTGCTCCTCCTAGGCAAGCAGCAGGTAAGCTGGGGAGGGGGGGGGAGCGCTAGGAGGCGCGTCCCAGTCTGCCCCCCCCCGCCCCCCCGCCGAGCAGCTCCCTCCGGTGGCCGGCCCCGGCCGAGCACCCCTAGCCCTGGTCCTAGTGACTCCAGCTCGGCTCAAGCCCCAGGGCACTGGCCCCCGGCCCCGGCCGAGCGGCTCCAGCCCGCCCCAGCCCCGGCGGCCCCGGCCCCGGCCCTAGCGACTCCAGCTCGGCTCAGGTCCCGGGGCACTGGCCCCCGGCCCCGGCCGAGCACCCCTAGCCCTGGTCCTAGCAACTCCAGCACGGCTCGGGCCCCGGTTCTGACCGAGCGGCTCTCGGACGGGCCCCGACCCTGGGTGAGCGGCGCCGGCCGGCGGCCGAGCACCCCCAGCCCCGGTCCCAGCGGCTCCAGCCCAGACCCAAGCCCCACCACCCCTCCCTATTTTCCCGGACATGTCCGGCTTTCTGGAATTTCCTCCCGGACGGGGATTTGAGGACCAAAAAGCCGGACATGTCCGGGAAAATCCGGACGTATGGTGACCCTACTGGCCCCTGGCGAGGCGCATGGAAGGAAGCGAGAAGGTGGCTGGTGCGTGTGTTTGAACTGTTCTAACGCTTCCGCTTCTCCCCCACCCGCTTGACACCCCCGTTCTCCCCCCAAGAGTTGAAATCGGCAGCAGCCCCGATCTCCCCGGGATGAAGCGGGACAGACCAAGGTACTAGTTCATTGTCAGCCATTCGAATGATGTCAATGCGGAGGGAGGGGTGGTCCCACTCCGGTGTCGAACCCCCCCGAGCCGGCTCTGCCTGGCCGGCCATGTCCCCGCTCCGCGGCGCCGGTCATGATCACAAACCAGCCACCCCCTTGTAACACAAACGCAGGAACCGCGTCGAGGGCGGACCCCAGTGGGGCTGGGGGGGGGGGAGTGGTTACCGCACACCCCCCCCAGCGGCCACTCTGGGTCTCTCTCCCCCTAGAACGGTGCCAGCCAGCAGCAGGGGGGTTCGAACCTGCACCCCAGCCAGAGTCCTCAGCGCCAGGCATGGGGAGGCTGCGTTTTGCCCACCTCCAACTCCGGGCAACAGGGCCAGGGCCATTGTAGGTAGCAGGACCCCATCTCCCACCGATGCCAGCCTCCCTCCCCGCTTCCCCCCACCTTTCCCGGCTCTCCTGGGGACCCCGGCGTCCTGCCCCGCGCCGGAACTGGGGCTGTTGTTCCTGGCAGTGGCAGGGAGCCCTGTCTCCTTGCCAGGCAGGGACCCCCCCTGGGTCCCTAGGACCTTGGCCCCGTCCTGCCGTGCCTCCAGGGCCACCTTCCCTCGCTCCGGCGCCCCACAAGGCGCCTCCGCCTTCCCCCGGCTGGGGCCTGGAAAGGGAAGGGGGTCAGTGAGGGGGGGACAGAGGTGGCTGGGGGGGTGTCAAGTCCCTCAGCCCTCCCCCTGCGCCAAGGGGTGAGATATGGCATAGGGCAGGGACAGCCAACCGTCCCTCCCCACCCGCGGGACCCCCTCCGTCCCTCCCCACCCGCCTCTCCCCCTCCATCCCTCCCCATCTGCCTGCTCCCCTCCGACCCCCCCTATCTGCCCCCTCCGACCATCCCCACCCGCCTCTCCCCACCCACCTGCTCCCCTCCGTCCCTCTCCACCTGCCTGCCCCCTCATCCCCACCCCGCCACATCCCCCTTCTATCCCTCCATTTACCCCTATCCCTTCTCTCTGCCTCCCTAACCCCCCCCCCCATCTGCCCATTCCCACCCCCAGACTCACCCTCCATGGGGCTCAGTTGTGGGGCTGGATCCTGGGCGCTCAGCTTCTCTGGGGGGCCGCTTGTGAGGGCTGGGTCCTCAGGGAGGGGAGCAGATGGGGAGCTATGGTTTTTGGGACCCAGAGCAGATGGGGGGCTCAGCTCCTTGGAGGGCATCTTGGGGGCCCCCCTGCTAGCCCCCCCGGCCTGAACCCAGAGGATGAGGGCCAGCAACAGCACCAGTTTCATGGCTGCAGCCGGCCAATTCCCCTGCCAGCAGCTGACTGCCGGATGGCCCAGCCCAGGGGCCCCGTGTCCGGCCCCCCCCCATACTCCCCCTTGGCCGCACGCCTTAGCCCATAAGCAAACACCCCCCCCCCAGCCGAATCCCCCCACGCCCGGTGTAAATTGGCCTTGGCTCCTCCCCAGGCCCAGCCGCCACGGGCACTGCAGGCTGGCAGGGATCTGGCCCGGAGAGACAGGGCCCTTTTGTCCAGAGCCTGGGAGTGGGAGCGGCCCACTAGCCTTGGCCAGGCCCAGGCGCTGGGGAATTGGGATGAATGGGCCCCTGTCTGTCCGCACACAGCCAGCTCCTGTCAGGGAACGGGGGGCTGGGCCGGAGGGAGCCCCCAATACACCCTGGCCCCCTCACGGCCAGGCCAGGAACAGATCCCGGACTGTGGTAAGCCGGCATTGGCCCCACAATCAGCTAGTCCAGAAATGCCATGGAGCGGGAAAGACCCCCACTTGGTTACAGACCAGCCCCTGCTCTAACCCCCCAGCCCCCACTCCCCTCCCAGAGCCGGGGACAGAACCCAGGAGTCCTGGCTCCCAGCCCCCCCTGCTCTAACCACCAGCCCCCACTCTCCTCCCAGAGCCGGGGAGAGAACCCAGGAGTCCTGGCTCCCAGCCCCCCCTGCTCTAATCCACCAGCCCCCACTCTCCTCCCAGAGCCGGGGATGGAACCCAGGAGTCCTGGCTCCCAGCCCCCACTTTCCTCCCAGAGCCGGGGAGAGAACGCAGGAGTCCTGGCTGCCACCCCCCTTCCCCCGCTCTAACCACCAGCCCCCACTCCCCTCCCAGAGCCAGGGAGAGAACCCAGGAGTCCTGGCTCCCAGCCCCCCTACTCTAACTCACCAGCCCCCACTTTCCTCCCAGAGCCGGGGAGAGAACCCAGGAGTCCTGGCTCCCAGCCCCCCCTGCTCTAACTCACCAACCCCTACTCTCCTCCCAGCGCCAGGGATGGAACCCAGGAGTCCTGGCGCCCAGCCCCCACTCTCCTCCCAGAGCCGCCCCCTTGTGCCCCAGAGCATGGCGCCAGCCCCCCCGCTTTCCCAGGCCCCCCCCAGGGACTGTCCCAAGCACGCCCAGGCGGCCCCTGCCCGTCCGGGTCCGTGGCACTGGGGGCAGGGGCCCCTCGCTTCCAGCGGGGAACTTGCCCCATTGTTCGTAGCCGCCCCGGCAGCCGCGACCCGCTCGCCGCGGAGAACTCACGCCCGGAGATCCGGATCCGGGGTCTCCCCGCTCCCCCCGGGGGGGGTTTAACGAGCCTCCGCTCCTGGGTCCTCCGCACCCCACGGCGAGGGGCGCTTGGGGCCCCGGCTCCCTCGGCTCTGGCTGGGGCGGGCTGGCTGCAAAACCCCGGAGCCTGCCAACTTCTGCCGCCCAGCGGCGCCGGGGGGCGGCCGGGCTCCTACCTGGGCGGTGATCGCGGCGTGCGCGGAGCCGGGATTGGCCCTTCGGGGGAAGCGGCCCCGCGCGGCGCACCCAGCCCGGGCCCCGGGCCCCGCTCCCCGGCCGGCCGGCGGGGGGCTGCTCGCAGCTCGCCCGCTCCGCTTCCCCAGCCCCCGAGCCCAGACTGCAGCCCCGCACCCGCCAGCCAGCGCAAGCCGCGGGGGACGGGGCGTCTCCTACCCTGAGACCGGGTCCGGGGGCTGCCTGCGCCCTGCTGGGCTCGGGGGGCTTCGGGATCTCCCCGCACTCAGCGCCTCGCGCTCCGGCCCTCGCCCACCTCGCCGCCGCCGGCTTGGCCACGTCACAGCTGATTAGCCCGGCCTGGGGCGGCCGTGCCCCGCACCCAAAGGGGTTTGTCCCTGGCCGGGGGGCAGAACCTGCGAACGCCGCGTCCCAGCAGGTCCAAAGTTTCGGGGCGTGTTCTGGACACACAGCAGCGGAATCCTAGGGGGGGGGGTCGGAAACCCGCAAATGGGGAACACAAGGAGAGCCCTCCCCGCCCCCCCAGCATGTGTCTAGCACCGCCACAGCTAGTGCCTTCCCCCGGAACAAATACCCTGGGCCCTGCTCATCCGCCCAGGGTTGACACCCTGCATGACTTCTCTTCCAGACAGGCAGTGATGGGGTGGGGGAGAACAGGGCACACATGGGGTGACAACACGGGACCCTGGCACGAGGGATGGGGGAATGCGGGGCACACGGAGACATTGGTGGG